CGATTCCTGCATCTGCCGTCAGAGGTGTGGGAGTTCGTAGAATTGTTCGAAACGTAGCTGATAATGTTGGTACCACTACATATCAGCAATCTTCGGCAGATTCTGCAAAAGAGCCGCAGAGGATTGTAGTGTATCGACAGAGTACGCCAGGGGGTTAGTTTGCTTGAATAATTCAATCTATTGTGCTACTTTATGAGCATAGTAGGTTTCTGATCCTATATTTCAGGCGGGACCGTTCTTGTGCGAAAAACATTTCCTGCGGGTACATCAGTGCCAAGAACTGTGAATGTTAGTAATGGTGGTGTAGTAAGACGATTTGTCACGCGAGAAGCAGTTGCTCGCCCCGTGGGCACCTCAGATGCTTAGTAAGTAGTTCTGCTTTTGTTTATGAGTTGTTTGGTTTTTACTCAAACTTATTTTTTGTTGATTTCTTTTGTCACTGTTGTTGGGTCTGTTTGTTATTGATTATTCTGTTTTTTCTAGTTCACGTGGAGGAGCAACGCGCGGTAATGTCCAATACAGAACCGCAGGCCAGTATGTTGCTGTGTCACCTGCGTCGACATCACAATCACCGCAAATTATAAGAGGAGGAACTGTTGTCAGACGTGCAGTAGCAGCGAATGGAGCAGTTCCGGGCACAAGAGTGACAAGTAATACTTTGTTGTTGTGATTTTGTTTTGTTTTTTTCATAAATTCTGTTTCATGATTGTTTGTTTTCAACAAAAGTGTATGTTTTTAGGGTATGCGGCTGTTCCGGTGAGGTCGAGGTTGGGCTATTCTTCTTCTTCACCTGATCTTTCAACTTGGTCATCTTATTCACCTTCGAATACACCTAGTATGGCTGAAATCGAATCTGACCCTGTTGCCATCGTAAGTTCCTTTTTGCATCCATGAAGTATGTATTTTTTCTCGTACAAACAATGTTCGCGTTTATCCCATCAAATTTCCAAGACTGATTTTTTATTCTGGGGTTTTTTTTGTTTTGGGGTTCGAGAGTGTTCAGTTGCCCCACTGGCCCATGTTCTCTGGATTTATATTAACTGACCTGCAATTCGTTTTCAAAGGTTATTCGTGTCGCTGTTTCCTTGAATAATAAAGTTCATGCGATTCCAGGCAAACGGAGAAATGTCAGATGTTGTGTTTGAGCATCATGGTGCATCCACGCAGAATTTACCCGCTTACAGACAACAGGTGCGCATCAGCTTTATCGATTCTGCCATCTTTGAATCCTTTTAGAATTATCTGTTCTGTCATTATGTATATTTGCTTTTGTTTTTTCTTTTTGCTTCTTTTGGAATCTTCTATTCAAAATCTGCTCAATTGCGCTGAAACTTTTTAGTACTACACCGCCCAACGCAGGCCGCCTTTGCGACCAGGTGAAAATATTCGTCGGCCGCACCCTGCTGCTGTGAATTCTGCTTCTGCCACACTTCTACAGCACAGAACAATGGGGCAAACAGCTCGAAGATTGCCTGCAGCTGGAGCCGAAGTTGCCGCTTCTGTTGGCGCTTTTGAACATTTGGATGTGAAGAGAATGCTATCTGGCAATCCTGCTGCTGTTCCTGCTAGTAATGTATGTGTCTCAATTCTTCAACAGTAAGTCATGGAGTAAAATGATTGTGCAGGTATCGTCGCCGGCACCTACTGCTCCACCCCCGAAATACTACACGAAGTCACAAAAAGCGAAGGATGAAATGCGACTTGCTCATCAGACTGCTACCGAGAAACGCTCGGAAATTGACGAAGATGTGAGCGAAATTTTCAGCCATTAGCTTATACTTATCCTGCAAAATCACTTTTTAGGAGGAAAATCTGGGTTACGCGGAGACATATGCTGATTATGTGCCGGCAAAACTTCGCTCAGGCGTTTCACATCCGGATAGCGTGGTGGAGACTGCATCTTTGAGTAGTGTAGCTCCTCCGGATGTGAAATATCAGATTAGCATCCCTGAATATGTAAGTTTTTCTTCCTTCTCTTTCTTGAATTCATCAATAATGTGTATTATTTGCATTTCT